CAAAATGATGCATAGCTTTTCTAGCTAATGTGATAGGAACTAGAGTACCGGAAATGAGATTACATGATATCCCCACAGTTAAGGAGTTTTTAGAAGTTTTTCCTAAAGAGTTATCAGGTTTACCACCAGATCGTGAAGTGAAATTTAGAATTGAGGTTTATCTAGGTACCAGACCTATTTCTATGGCTCCATATCGGATGACCCCAATAGATTTAAGGGAATTAAAGGCACAGTTACAAGAGCTACTTGATAAAGGGTTTATCAGACCCAGTGTTTCTCCTTGGGGAGCACCTGTATTATTTGTGAAAAAGAATGACGAATCTATGTGATTATGTATTGATTATCACCAAATGAATAAAGTAACGATAAAGAAAAAGTATCATTTTCTAAGGATTGATGACATGTTTGATCAGTTAAAAGGCATAAGAGTGTTCTCTAAGATAGATTTAAGGCCGGGGTACCATCAGTTAAAGATAGAGAATGATGATATTTCAAAGATAGCTTTTAGGACTCGGTATGGACACTATGAATTTGTGGTAATGCCATTTGGATTAACAAATGCCCCTCCAACATTTATGGAACAGAGTGTTCCAACCGTATTTGGATCAGTTTATCGTGGTGTATATAGATGATATCTTGGTATATTCTAAGTCAAAGGAAGAGCATGATGCTCATCTTCGAGTGGTTCTTCATACACTTCGTGATAAGAAGTTGTACGCGAAATTGTCCAAATGCGAATTTTGGTTATCTGAGATTGTTTTCCTTGGTCACATAGTATCTGTAAAAGGCATAAGAGTGGATCCCAAAAATATTCAATCCATAATGGATTGGCAACCCACAAGGAATGTTTCTGAAGTTCGGAGTTTCTTGGGGCTCGCTGGTTATTATAGGCGATTTGTGAAAAAAAATTCGATTCTAACTCTGTCGCTAACTAAGTTGTTGCGGAAGGATGTGCCTTTTATTTGGACGAATAGATACCAGGAAAGTTTTGAAATTCTAAAGAGAATAGTAACTAAGGCTCCAATGCTCGTGCAAACTGAGTCAGGTAAAGAATATGTCGTTTATAGTGATGCATCTTATAATGGGTTAGGATGTGTACTGATGCAAGAAGGGAAAGTTGTAGCTTATGCCTCAAGACAGTTGAAAAATCATGAGAGAAATTACTCGATGCATGATTTAGATTGGCCGCAATGGTGTTTGCTTTAAAAATCTCGCACCATTATCTGTACGGTGAGCATTGCCATGTTTACATGGATCACAAGAGTTTAAAATATTTGATGAATCAGAAAGAGCTGAATTTGAGACAGAGAAGATGGATTGAGCTCTTAAAAGAGTATGATTTGGTTATTGACTATCATCCGGGAAAAGATAATGTGGTAGCTGATGGCTCAGTCGAAAGACTTTTGTGGCTTTAAGGGCTTTAGATGCATGTATGTCTTTAAAGGAAGATTGTGTTTTGATTGTTGAATTAAAGTTAAGGCCAATGTTTTTGGATCGGGTTAAAGAGTTGCAAGGTCGAGATAAGAAATTTTTGATGAGATTGGCGCAAGTCAAAAAATGAGAAGCCATTGAATTCGAAATAAGGGATAATAGATGTTTATATTTCCATGGAAAACATTGCATTCCTAATGATGATCAATTGAGGAAAAATATTCTTGGTGAGGCACATTATAGCCCTTTGACGATGCACCCAGGTGGAAAAAAGATGTATCAAGATTTGAAAAGTCATTACTGGTTTCCTAGCATGAAAATAGTTGTTACAAAGTTTGTTGCCAAATGTCTGACATGTTAGTAAGTGAAAGTTGAGCATCAAGTGCCATCTGGGTTACTATAGCCAATATTAATTCCTGAGTGAAAGTGGGCGCAAGTCACAATGGATTTTGTTTCGGGGCTACTGTTGTCTCTAGGTAAAAAAGACTCGATTTGGGTAATAGTAGATAGATTGACCAAGACGTCTCATTTTATTACAGTTCGAGTATATTATTCAATGGATAAGTACACGGAGCTGTATATAAAGGAAATAGTTAGACTACACGGAGTGTCTATTTCGATAGTGTCTGATCAAGACCCAAGGTTTACTTCAAGACTTTGGAAGTCTTTGTATGAGGCATTGGGTACTCAATTGAACTTTAGTACAGCTTTCTATCCGTAGATAGATGGGCGGTCAGATCAAGCTATTTAGATACTAGAGGATATGATAAGGGCATGTGTGATTGAATTTAAGGGATCATGGGAAATGTATTTGCCTTTAGCGGAATTTACGTATAACAAGTTATCAATCAAGTATTAAGATGGCTCCGTATGAAACTCTGTATGGGAGGAAATGTAGAACACCGTTAAATTGGTTTGAACTGACACATCGAGACCTGGTTGGCCCAGATTTAATGAATGATATGGAGGAAAAAGTGAAAATCATACAGAACAATCGAAAGATAGCCTCAGATTGCCAAAAGTCTTATGCTAATTTGAAAAGAAAAGAAATCAAAATTCAAGTGGGGGACAAAGTATTTCTGAAGGTATCACCTTGGAAGAATGTATTGTGTTTTAGGCGAAAAGGAAAGTTGAGTCTGAGATTCATTGGACCGCATGAAATTTTAAAAAGGGTCAGACTCGTAGCTTATCGGTTAGCTTTGCCTCCGGATATGGATAAGATCCATAATATTTTCCACATATCGATAAAAGGGTCAGACTCGTAGCTTATCGGTTAGCTTTGCCTCCGGATATGGATAAGATCCATAATATTTTCCACATATCGATTCTTAGAAGGTATAGATCATATCCATCTCATGTTATCACACCTGAAGAAATAGAGATCTGACCAGATTTATCCTATTAGGAATAACCAATACGGATCTTGGCTAAGAACCAAGGAATTGCGTAACAAAATGATTATGTTGGTTAAAGTGATTTGGAAGAATCATAAGGTAGAAGAGGCTACCTAGGAAAGAGAGAAGGATATGAAAAAACGGATTCCCCATCTCTTCGTTTCAGATACTTCTTTAAATTCGAGGATGAATTTTCTTAAGGGGGAGAATTGTAATACCCTAAATACCAAATTAGGGACTTTATTGAAAGAATTTAAAAATAGGAGGATTTATTTGATTAAATGCTAAAAGATGAGAATGATTAGAATTAATGGTTTAGACTAAATTATGGCAATGGATTATTAATAGGGCATTTTGGTCCTTTCAATGAAAGTTAATTTAAAATTATTATTAGTAAGGTATTAAAGTTAAGGGAAAAGGGAAATTAGATGCAAAAAAGATATTTCCTTGTCTTCTCCTTTCAAGTGGATAAAGCCTCCTCCATAGCTCCAAAGATCAAAATCAAGCTCCCGAGACAAGTCAAACGAAGGGCAAAGGCAAAGTACCTGAGTAAGCAGTTTTACGTTTTGGATACAGTAAAGAAGGTAGCCAAGTGAGTGCATTTAATTTTGTAACTATATGTTATACTAATCATATATGTATGATTGTTTAATATATATGTGGTGATTACCAAATAGGCACTAAACGTGCATTTCACGGAATTCATCCTATGTGGATGAATAACCGTTTCGGCACTAAGTGTGCATTTCACAGAATTCATCCTTTGTGGATGAATAACCGTTTCGGTACTAAATGTGTATTTCACGGAATTCATCCTATATGGATGAATAACCGTTTCGGCACTAAGTGTGCATTTCACGGAATTCATCATATGTGGATGAACAATCGTTTCGGCACTAAGTGTGCATTTCACGGAATTCATTCTATGTGGATGAATAGCTGTTTCGGCACTAAGTGTGCATTTCACATAATTCATCGTATGTGGATGAATAACCATTTTGGCATTAAATGTGCATTTCACGGAATTCATCCTATGTGGATGAATAACCGTTTCGGCACTAAGTGTGAATTTCATGGAATTCATCCTATGTGGATGAATAACTGTTTCGACACTAAATTTGCATTTCACGGAATTCATCATATGTGGATGAATAACCATTTCGGCACTAAGTGTGCATTTCATAGGATTCATCCTAGGTGGATGAATAACCGTTTCGGCACTAAGTGTGCCTTTCACGGAATTCATCCTACATGGATGAATAACTATTTCGACACTAAGTGTGCATTTCACGGAATTCATCCTATGTGGATGAATAACCGTTTCAGAACTATCTGTGCAAACCACGTAATTTAAAATATATTTATGAATAACCGTATGGGCACTACGGGTGCATTACAAAGAAATGATAATGACTGGAAAAATATTGAATTGGTATTTGATTGATAAGAAATAGTGTTATAATGATTTCATTGAATATTTAGTTTTTGCCTCATTAAGTAATACTTAACGTGTGTTTGTTTCACGCGCAGGTTTAATACAAGCTGAGTAAAGAGACCATTGAACATCAAAGTAAGAGTCACCTCATCAGTAACAGTATGACATATTTGTCTACTTTTGATATATTTTAGTTGGCAAGTAATAGGTTTAGTAAAAACGCTCTGAATGGTATTTGAATTAAACATGTTGTAAAACGGTGAAGTGTTTGAACCTCTCTTTTGTTCGTCTACGTAAAGTTTAATATATGTTTTATTATAAGTAAATTAAAATGTTATATAAAATGAAATGAAATTTTACGGGTTTTTAAATGAGGAACAATTTTAAAAAAAATGATGTGATATATATATCCCGTATACAGAGAGGTATACTAGAGATGGGTGTTACAATCAATGCTTTCCACTTTGAGATGAGGCCTGTGATGTTCTAGATGATACAATCTATGGGACAATATAGTGGTTCATTTACCAAGGATTCTAGAGCACATTTAAAAGTATTAATGGAAGTATGTGATTCTTTTGTACAATATGAGGAAGCTTTGAAGATAAAGTTGTTTCCTTATTATCTTCGTGACAAAGCTAAAGCATGGCTCAACTCACTGCCACCTGATGCTAAAACATCATGGAAAGAACTCACTTAAACATTTTTTTTTGTGTTTCAACCCTCCCAACATGGATGCTAGACTGAGTAATAATCTCATATCATTCAAGCAAATGTAGGTTGAGAACCTATATAAAGCTTGGGAGCATTTTAAGGATTTACTGAATAAATGTCTGATGCATGGTTTCCAACACTAGACATAAATGAAGATGTTTTATCATGGATTGAATATGCAAACACAAATAGTTATTGATGCTTCTCCTAATGGAGCCTTGTTGGATAAGGCCTATAGCAAAGCCTATGACATCTTGGGAAGGATGTCCACCAATGACTACCAATACCCTAATGCAAGGATTATGTTGAGTAGATGCAATTATGTAGTAGTTGACAATGAAGCTATCAACACACTGACCAACAAGACACATCATTGGCTGAAATGATGAAAAAAAAGTTTTTTCAAATTAGTTATTGATATAAAGTATGCTTTGCTGCTTGGATTCAGGGACACATCGTCTCATAATTTTGTCATTGCATTACATGAAAACATATGGCTTCCAATGCTACACTTTAACATATCGCAAGAATTTGTTTCTTCCTTGGTGATTATGATATGGTGGTAGAAATCCACTAACCAAGTAATTCACAATATCAACATTATAAGGCAATGCTTCAATGGCAAGAAACTTTTCATCCGGGAAATGATCGGGGAATCACAAGTATTTTTCCATATTCATTACCCGATTCCAAATAAGACAAATGGTTAGCCACTTGATTCTCGGATCCCTTCTTATACATAAACCTTAAACTCTAAACTTCAAACCCTAAACTTCAAATCCTAAACCCTAAACCAAAATCAAGAGAATGTTATTTCCTTCGGAAATTGTTTCATTTATTCTAACAAATATGACAAATATATCAAGATAACTAATATTTCTATCATATCTTAACAATTATATTTTCCATGTAATTACACATTAGTATCTAAGTTTATCCTAAGAAATTCTAATGTTTTTCTAATCTCTATGAATACTATTAAAATTTTAACTTTTAAGTTGATGACATGAAATAATCTCATAATACTATACAATTACAGCTTAATAGTATTAAAAAACTAATTAGTCTAATTAAAGATAAATTTAGTGATCAATATAAGAGGAAAAAAATCAAAAACCAATGCATAAGGAAAATGCAAATTTAGAAACCAAACACATAACTAATCAAAAGGAACTCAAAAGATTTCTTCGTAATATTTTTTTCAAATATTTATTAATTTTTTTAATCTGAACATGATTCTTTCTTTGGTTATACAATTTTAAGAACGATTAGAAAAAACGATGTTGATATTTATTTTTTATTACAAAGCTTAATAACATAATGATCATTTTGATACTTTACTTGTAATTTTTGAAATTGTTTGAATCCGAGATTTGGTTGGATCGTTGGGTAGCCCATCACTACAGGTGGTTAAACCCGTCAAAGCACTACTAACCCATGTCTGAACATTGCTTATCTTTAGACTAAAATCGGAAGATTGAATCGTACTCATCTCGCCAATCGACTTTCTCATCTTATCTACGCCATCCCCAAGTAACTCCAAGCAATCTGTCATGGCAGGGGTTTTGGGAAGTTTTGCCATCGAGGCAGTGGTTGACTCGAGGTTTAAAAGGCTCTCTTTTAGTGCTGCATTGGCTTTCATATACTCAGGAGTAGATTTAGGATCACCTTGTCCACCAACTAAACTCAAGTTTACAAAAACATTAAGGACAAGAAGAGTAACAAGGAATTGAAAAGAATGATTATTGGAGATTGTGTTTGACATGTTTCTGACTCTTTCTTGTTTCTAAAAACTATGGGGAGATAATGGAATGTGATGAAAATGGGAGGGGAGGCTTGCAATTTATAAGAAAAATGTTCATGGACGTAATTCACGCATATGCGATGTAATTGTCCCTCTAGCCCTAAAATGAGGCTAATAATCCGTGTTCTTAAAAAAAAGAGGCTAATAATCCGTGCATAGTTAAAGATAATTAGAAATAAGTTGTGTTCACAAGGATTAATTTATTTTTTCATTTTATAATTTCAAAAACAATATTCTATTTTGTTAAAAGATTATATCTTTTGAACTTTAATATTTCATTTTTTATAATTTAAAAAATGAATTTTTTTTATCTTTATTATTCTTTGTTAGAATTTTATATATTCTTTTTGAAAACTTATATATTATGAAAAATAGTTATTAAAGATTTTGATAAGTTGTTTTAATTATGAGTTATAATTAATTTGTGATGTTGTTGGAAAAACTATCTTATTAATATATAAGTAAATTTGGTGTATTCCAATGTTTGCTAATTAATTATTATCAAAACCTTGAAAAAGATTGTTAGTATGCTTTTCAAACCTTGTAAATAAGGATGAAAATGAGGTGAGAAAAATATATTTTATTGCCTGGATTTTGATCATAAAAAATATATCTGAACTTTATCTACCTTTAATTCATCTTAAAATTTAAATTTAAAACTCATCCTAACTTAACTCAACCTAAATAAAAAAATGAAAACATAAGTTTTTATAAGTTGATTCCTCTAAATTTTTCAAATGTTATTCATTAAGTTAAAGAAAAAAAAATATAATGAATGAAAATAAATAACTTGATAAAAACACAAACTCAATGAAAACAAGGATTGAGTATTAAGAATTAACTTGAAAAACTTCTCATTAACTATAAAACCAATCACTTAAATAAATTTATATGCAAATTAAATATAAATGAAATATAGGGAAGCGGTGGCGGATTAATGAACGTTGCTCTTGTTAAAGAATCAAACCTAGAAAGATCTAGACCCGATGAAGAACAAAGGGGGATGAATAGTAGAAGGTGGCTCCCTTATGAAGGTGAAGTATCTTTGTAATGTTCTCTGAATCAGAATCTCCTTTGGATTTGTTCTTCGATTGTTATTGCCTTCTTTAGTGTATCTTCAAGGTTTTCGTACACATGGAGGTCAATAAGATAAGTGATGTTTGAGTTGTTGACAATGAATCTTGACACGGTGTCCTCTTCTTCTTCGGTTATGTTAGCCCTATTGAGTAAGGACTGCATCTCCTTGTAGTAGTCTTCAACTGAACTTATATCTTATCGAAGTCAATGTAGTCGTAGTTTAACTTCTCCTATATAATATGTCGGTACGAATCAGTTCCTCATGGTTTGTTTGAGATCGTTCCAAGAAGTGATTACTTGAATTTGGAAGTTCTCGATCTTTTTCCTTGTTTGCATCCACCAAGTGTGAGCGTATCCTTTGAATTCCATGGTGATGAGGGGAACTTGTTCAGCTTGGGGGTAGTCATGGTATACGGACATGATATCAACTTTTCCTTCCCAATCGATGTGCTTGTCTGGTACATTGTCTCCTTTGAAAGAAAAGATCGTGAACTTTGGTTTTGCAAAAAGTTTGGGTTCTTGGAAACGTGGTTGTGCTCGTATGGGTCCCAAAAGTTTAACATTGTTTGGTCTTGGATTTTGGTTTGGTATATCCAGTTGTGGTTCTTGTCATTCTCTCACGATATTGTTAAGTTCATGAAATCTTTCAAATTGAGTCGTGAGTCATGCAAGTGCCGCTAAGATAGCCATAAGTGTCTTGTTGTTATTGTCGCCCATCCTGAAATCATAACTCTCAAAAAAAATTCAACAAAAACAAGAAACCTCAAAAGTCACTCCAAGAAAGTAACATAGTTAGAGGCAAGTAATCCGATCTTATACTCTTTAAAACTAACTTTACCAAGTAGTCTTCCATAGTTTGTATTAGAGTTTGATTACTAGCAAAGGCGATAAGAAAACCTAAAAGCTCTAAGAGGCCAAAGAAGGTTTAGACTACAATAGAACGAAAATGAAAAAGAAGGAAGAAGCATGCAAACTCTTTATTCCTACTAAAAAAAGAAAGATAATGTGTTAGATAATGCAAAAGAACAATAAAAAGGAAAACAAAAGAACCTAAAGCACTAAGATTCAAAAAAAAAGAACTAAACCATAAATCTAGAAAACACTGGGTCAACTTGAGAAACATTATTGAGGGGGTTACCGATGTCTCAAAATTTTGGAAAATCTCTTGAATGTCGTTCTATCTTTGTAGAAACCACCTGTAAAAGTTTAGAACCAAATATCTTCAGCAGTATCCAGTAGAATCTATTGAACGGTAAGTCTCAAAAAGTCTGTTTTTCTTGATCGCTTTGTTCGAAGGTGTTATTGATCTCAAAAAATTCTGATTTTTTTTAATGGTCTTCAATATATTCAATTTCAATATGGAAATTTTCACCACGATATTCATCCTTTATAATTTTCAAGAAATTCGACAAGATTTTAGACTGAATCTGCCAATGAAAATTGAATAATGTATTTGAATGATCTAATGAACTCTGATTGGAGTGAATTTTGGACTGGATATTAATCTTAGGATGAATATGATATTTGGAGGCAATAAGCTCTAAATTCCTTCATTTGCAATTTTTAAATTTTTGTGATTTTGTTTGGCTTTTTTATTTTTTGTTTTTTTTTAAAAAAGAAAACTAATAAGAAGGATTTGAATCTAAATTAAAATTAAATAAAAAGAACCTGAAATGATGAATCTTTTTACGAACTAGCTCTGTTTGGGTACCTTCATTGTTTTGTGTGCAAGAACAAGCAAGATTACTTGCTTCTTTCGAAGAATCAGCCCAAATCTGATACCAAATTATAGGGATGCTGTTGCGGATTAATAAACATTGCTCTTGTTGAAGAATCAAACCCAGAAAGCTCTAGACCCGATGAAGAACAAAGGGGATTTAATAGTATAAGGTGGCTCCCTTATGAAGGTGAACGGTAAAGATGATGATGGTGAGGATGAATTTGTGGAAAATAGATGGATAAGTGTCCTGTCAAACCCTCCTAGTCACAATGAAAATGCAAACTCGATAATATGGCTCTAAGTGTTCTATCGAAGCCTCCTAGTCGCAATGAAAAGGAAAACTCAATAATATGACTCTAACCAACCCTACTAGTCGCGATGAAAAGGCAAATTGAAGTGTGAAGATTAATCTCCCCCAAAGAACTTGAAAGCACTCCAAGAGAAGAAGCTTTGAAGGCACAAGGCAATCATCACTTGCAAAAATGAATTCTCGTTGCATTATTAATCAAAGAAATTTGTTTTACAAAGTTGA